AGGGAGGGAGGGTGGGCGGGCTTGGAAAAGTAGGTAAGTATTTGACTTCTAACTTCCCCCTTCTTTATACTCAGACTGATTTGCAGCATTTACAAATATTTAGACCCCGTTAGAAGCCATAATATAAGGGTTTGTGTTTGCCTTGACATATTGTGTATATGGAAAGCATTTTTTCTTGAATTGGGTTAAACAGCAGGTTATTTTGAGACTGAATGGAGCAAAACTGAAGTGGGGCTGGGAAAGAAATCCCCAAACTGTGTAAGTTTCAAACAATTTTTGTTTGTTTGCTTGTTTTAAATGGTATCATTTTCCCCTGCCATGCTTGTTTTCCAGATGTGGTATATACTGTATTTCCTGTACCGCTCCAGCTCTCATCTCTTTGAAGTGGCTTTGGAAGCAAATGATTAACCAGCACAAACAGCTTGTTTGCTTGCTTGCTGAGCCCACAAGCACAGCAAGGCTAGAAATCTCATCTTGCGAGGAGGAAATGAAGAACCTCTATTGTTCTCTCTAACTCCCAAGTTATATAGCAATCTTTCCCATCAAGAATGGATTTCATTTTTGGTGTGTACCTTTTTTCACCAAAACGTAACAGAATTCAAACATGTGTGTGTGTGTGTGTGTGTGTGTGTAATAAAATATGCATGTTTGTGTATGTATATAAAAAATAAAACAGCTTCTCCTGGAGTTGAATAAGAGATATAGAGCTCGCTAATAATGCTTGAGTCAGAATGGCTTGCAGTGATTTCAGGAACTGTTATAAACTCATAAACAAATATTTTATAAATTAAAAGGGACTGGGCTGAGAATGAAACCAGAAGTGGGCAATCTGCAGCCCCCAGATTCTCTTTCCAAGACACTATGACGTTTGCTAAATGTGCCATTCTGAACCCTAAAAACTTCAATGTAAGCCCAGGAATTGCCCTATCAGCTTAACACAAAGAGAACCTATCTCCAGCTTTCTTCACAGGTTTGAGCTGGCTGTGCCCTCACTCCTTACCCCTGCCTTCTGGGTGTTTTTTT